TTCAGAGGGCGGAGGAAGGCAGAAAGTTGTCAAGCATACCAAGCCTTTCTTTTCCCCCAAGAACATGGTTCGGGAAAATGGCTCTGTTAAGACTTTATTTTTATATTTTTCTTTTCTTGTTGGCGAATTCTTTGAGATTGATACATTTGGAGATAAAAAAAAGAGACAACTAGGAATGGTCAACGAGTTTTTTTTTTTTTTTTTTTTTTTTTTTTCTTTTCTTTCTTTTCTTTCTTTCTTTCTTTCTTTCTTTCTTTTCCTTTTAGCTCTTATATTTAGAACTCGGTGTGGGGTGAGAAGGGGGTTTGTCGTGGGGTTATCCAGTGGGATGTTGGGGATGTTGGGGATTTTTTTATTAGGATCTGTGAATGTATAATTCACAGCTATAATAAACTAGTACATTGGGGTGCATAAAATGAGAAAGAGGAGACATTTGGATATGGTATCAACATCAACATCAACATCAACATCAATACCGTCCAGGGATACACCATACACCTTTTCATCATCATAGCCAAGGCCTTCTCTCTGAATTCAAGAGTTCGGAAGCAAGGAATCTTGAATCTTACACACCAAGACGGTCCGTCCTTTCTCTACGATCCCACCAGCATTGGCCGGCAGCTGGGCAATACAACGCTGCTGGTATTTTTTTGCTATTGTTATTTTATTATTATTTTTGACAAAGCCGCAGGGTTAAAAGGTAAAAAGGAGATGGAAGCGAGAGCTATGAAATGATTCGTTCCTGAACGACACACAAACGTTATTATTGATTCCAAAAGGGGAAACCCCACCGTGTCATAGTTAATACTTGTATGCCATGAGTACGGAGTGCGTAGGCTTCTTTCATCTACATGATTATGATTGCCTTGGCGTGGGCTGTTGATGATGATGGGCATTCCAATGGATCCCGATAAGAGCCAATCATAATACGAATAAATAGTGGGAGGAAGAAGACGTGCAAAAGCACCGCATCTTCCACCCCGATTGAGCGAGTACAACTGATAGTATTTTTTTGTGAAACTACAGCGTAGTTTTTATTATTCAATGAGATCATCTGGCAAGGTTTTTTTTTTTTTTTTTTTCGTTTTCAATTTGTGAATACATACGGTACGGTACGATACATAGGGAGCAATAATACGGTTCGGACCGGTATAAATAAGGGATATGTTTTGAATTTTCCAAGCATCCCACACATCATCGATACTGTTACGAGACCGTACCGCGCTAGTTCGGGCGCGGAGTCATCACCGCACGCACGCCTCCCACCCATGTCACTTTGCGGTCGTTGTCCCTCCCTCCTGTTCCTCCACTGCCTCCTCGTCGTCGTCCTCCGCCTCTTGTCCTCCAACTCTCTCCCTTAACACCGCCTTCCTGCTTTCTTTATCTTGTTGTCTTCTTCTCTTCCTCTCTAATTCTCTTCTTCTTATCATCTCCACTCTTCTTCTACATTCGGCTGTCATACATCTCCACTCTACTTCTTCCAGCAGCCCGTTACACCCTCTATCTGGCATTCTGATGGGTTCTATATATTCGATCTGCTCCCCATCGTCCCTCACCTTCGCCCCGCGACATCACTTCTCTCCCTCTAGTCGCTATAGTTCACTTCAGCGGGCTTAGTCTACGCTTCCGTCTCGAAGTTTTCGCCCCCAAGCTCATTTGCGCTTTGACGGCTTCTGGGCTTCTGCTCTCCTTCCGATCCCGCGAATTTTCGATCGTCCCGCGAACCGTCATTCGATCGTTCAACCGAAAATACCAACCCTGTGAATCATATTTCTTGCCTCCTCAATATCGCTTACCATTCCCCAGCGCAGAGGCTACTTAAGATTTAAGAAGCAACAGAAGTGTATAATATTGGTTTATCCCCTCTGGTCGGACCCAAATCGATTTCCCTGCCCTATCAATTCCTAGGTCTCGTTTGACGTTACGTTTTACGTCAAATAAATACGGAATATATATATATATATATATAAAATATATAATATACAAACCTGGCGTTTGTATACTGAAGTGAATGGGATTTTTGGGTGGGTGTAAACAGACATGTCGGGCCCAATAATATCAAATCATGTCGTGCACCCATCGGAGGACCACTCAGCAGCCGCCAATCTTGAACAGGGCGTTAACCGGCTCCCAGCACATCTTCAAAGCCTGACACTTTCAACAGATTCGGAACTCGAAAATGTTCGTGTAGCAGACTTACCACCGGCTATAGTAGAGGAGGACGAGGACACCGCCAGTGAGCCTTGTGAACCATTGACTCCGATCAGCACCATCCACCCGCCTCATTTCAACAATGATCATCCGCATGGCAAGGTGTCAAAGCCGATAATTAACAACGCTGATGAACTCCCTCCTTCGACTGACCTCTCCTCGTCTCGTCCAACAAATTGTCCTTCCAAAACACCTCCCCCGCCACTGATCCGCCGCCATTCACCGTTGAGATCTGCATCCAAGTCGATAAAGTCGCTTTTCCGAAAAAGAAAGGGCACCAGTAGCTGTGCTGATGATCCGGCAGCACCAACATCAAATTCTAGTCCACAAGAAACTACCCAACCCCACAATATCTCGATACTCACCAACAATATACATCATGGCTTGTTCCTGTCAGCATCCCGCAATTCACCAACCAATTCATCACATTCGGGTTCACCCCGTTCTCCATTTTCACCCTCGAGTACCTTTAATGGTGGTGTTGCAGCCATGCTAAGCAGCTCAACGCCATCAGAATCAAGTTTGGCCCAAAAGACACCTGCTCGAGCATCGACGGGTCTCAGTTTAAGGGAGCGGGGCAAGATCATGTTTGGTTCGACTCCGAGACCCAATAGGATAGATCAGAAAATACGATCCCCGAGCTTGAGCGATGTGCAAAGCCAACCGGAACGTCCTGGGTTCTCAATACCGGCTGTCGAGGGTGTAGGGTTAAAGTCACGTCGGATGAGTGCAAGTTTTCCGGACGACTTTGACGTCGACACGTGCGAATTAGACGAAGAATATGTCAGTGCCAGCCGAGTTCCGGGGAAACGGGCTAAAGAAATTGGAAAAGGTGCGACTGCAACCGTCAAGGTTATGTGCCGGAAACACGGGAAAAGACACGACCTCTATGCAGTAAAAGAATTTAGGAAACGTGGACAGCAGGAGGACGAGGATGAATATGTGAAAAAGGTTAAATCCGAATTTTCGATCGCGAAAAGCCTCGATCACCCTAACATCGTCAAGACATTTCGCCTTTGCATACACAATGGACGATGGAACCATGTCATGGAGATGTGCTCTTATGGAGAGGTGTTCTCGTTAGTTCAGAAAGACTATCTCACTGACGCTGATAATCTATGCTTCTTTAAACAAACTGTGCGTGGCATTGCCTATCTGCACGAAAACGGCATTGCCCACCGTGATATCAAGCTGGAGAATTTACTTCTTTCGGATGAAGGCCATATTAAAATCACCGACTTCGGCGTTTCTGAGGTGTTCAGCGGCATTCACCCTGGCCTGCGTTCTTCTGGCGGACAATGCGGTAAAGAGATGAACGGTGTCCGCTTATGCTCACCAGGTATATGTGGTAGTTTGCCATATATAGCCCCTGAAGTGCTTGCAAAGAAGGGTAAGTTTTTTTTTTTTTTGTTTTTGACTTCTTTTTTAGATTCTAAATTTATGGTTATGGCTGCTGACTTTTGGCACTCAGATAAATATGACCCTCGCCCTCTTGATATTTGGTCCTGTGCCATCGTCTACTTCTGCCTTCGATTTCGCGCTAGCCCCTGGCCCGCAGCTGACGTGAAACACTTTCAATACGCCACCTTCCTGGATGGCTGGAATCGGTTCCTGAAGCAAGATCCGGACAGAGTCGTTACAGAGGATGACTACCCAAATTGCGGGCGACTTTTCCGGCATATTAAATATCTTGGCATGAGACGCCTCCTTCTAAAGATGCTCAATCCCGACCCTGCGAAACGCGCCAATATCCAAGAGGTCATGCAAGACCGCTTTTTCAAAACCATCGAATGCTGCGCTCCAGAACCCCTCGATCCATCAAAAGTCGTCACTTCAATCGACGTCGCCAGTAGCGGTAGCCATAAATTAGCTAGCAAGATGGTGGTGCAGAAAACTCATCACCATTTCCCCCCCTCGAAAAAGCTACTCCCGCAGCATCGATTTGATATGGGCGATGGATATCAGTGAACGTTTTAAGGTTCTCCTCGTCATAACTTAACTTTGCTTTCGTAAATAAATTCTCGCCCAACTATATCTTCTATCTGTTTATACCACATTACCTTGCGCTGTTTTTTTTCTTTTGTTTCTTCAACCTTTCGCTCATTATGTTTCATCTCTAGGTTTACCGTTGGCGGAGGGTGGATATTTCCGTGATGCTTCTAGCATATATTGTGTGGACCAGTTTTCTATTACTCACCACTTTAATGTTCCATCCCCGTTTCCTTGATCTTTTCTCCTGCATTGGGGTTATGGGTTGGCATTTTCTCTTTGCTCTACTCTTAATTATTCATGATATCTCAAACCACTATGCCTTTTTTTTTTTTTTCATTTTATTATCCATGTTTCAATTTTTATTTTATGTCCTGCTGCGCGACACTGCACATATACACGTCGACGATGGTGGCTTTCGCTTTTTCCTTGTTCCATCTCATTCTTGGTCTGTATGTATGGTGCCGTCCATCATTGCCCTGTTGCCCTGTCCTTTATTGTTTTATTCGCTAGCCCGTCTCGAAGGGGTTGTGTCCCCGCTGCTACTGTCATGCATCATTTCCAAAACATTTCCCTCTACATAACTTGTGAGATCGCCATTTTCCATTTTTTCTCTCTTTTTTACCTTTTTGTTTTTCTTTTTTATTTTTTTAATAAAAAGACCTTTGATTCCCTCTTGAATAAAATTCCCTAGGTAATAAATAATTGTTGGGTTAGTTGTGTAAACATTGAACTATTTTTTTTTTTTTTTTTTTTAGTCTATGCTCTGTTACGTTTTTCTGCCATATATCACTGGGTTTTCAGTTTTTTTTTTTTACATGTATATAAAAGTGTGGCTTGAACATTCTTGTACAGACAGATGCTATCAATATATATATATAAGTGGACTGTGCGGCGCAATTTTCACCCGGTTTGTGATTTCAAAAGTTATCATCTAATGAGAAATGAGAATGCTTGATTTTGATTTCATTCCTTCTTACTAATAACTAGTTACTAGTTAACTTAGTTTCTTATAGTTAGTTAACTAAATCATCTTCGCTGAGTAACTGAAAGGAAAGGGAAGGAAGGAAGGAAGGAAAGAAGGAAGGAGAATTTCTCCTGATTTTTGAAAAATAATAACTAACTACTAAATCGACCATGGGGAAAAAAAATAAAAAATATATCTTCTACGTACTAATAAATAGTTT